TGGCGGGATAAATGCTAATGACCGGATGCTGCGTATATATTGTTGTTCCCGCGTTTTCGTTTCGTCAGCTTGGGTTCGTTCGTTTGCAGGGTGTCACGTGATCCCTATAATATGACTCTTGTGGGGAGTTTAGGAAAATATAGCGCTATAACGTGGTTATCTAATGACACTGTTGAGGGCACAATGTTTGATCGGAGACAACATATCATCTAGACTGAGTGGGGTGGTTAGTATACACGGAGTTATAATCACTGAGTGGGGTTGAGGGTCCAAAGCTTGACTCACTGGCGGCAGTGACATTCCCCGGCGCGCAGCTGTGATGCAAAACCAGCACCCACTTCAAAACGGTTGCAGGAAGTCAAGCAACGCTAAATTTTGTTGTATTGTTGCCACGGAACTCGTGCAGTGGATTTTAAACTCAGGCCATCAAATTTACTGCCGCCACACAGAGTTCCCTATTTAACTAATATATTACCTTTTAAGGCAACCGTACACCAAGATGCCACCCAAGAAGCGCAATTCTGGGACGACACAGATCAAGGATGTGAAAAGTGCCGAAAGTGTCTCTCCAAACAAGAAGGAGTGTCCAGAGTTGTCTTTTAAAAAGTAAGACGTAATATTTTTTTTGCCGCCACGCAGTCTCAGCAGTGAACAAAATAGCGTTTGTTGTTTACCGTGTACTTAATGTCTACGCTGTGCCTCCGTGTTTAGCTAGTGGCAGCTATTCGCGTTAGCTTCGTTATTAGCAAACCGTCAGGCTGACTAGCTAAGCTAAGCTAGCTGCTCGGAACTATACGGCCCGGCAACGCCAGCTCGAACTGATACAGAGATGTTACGTAATTACCACGTTTCAGTCCCATTTAAGAATAAACTGTAAAGCTGCTAAAACATAAACAAATAGCATCCGGGTCAGACACCGTGGGGTCATTTTCATCGGTGCGTGTTGGTGTCCTGAAACGGGGCCATGATGTTCTCTATGATGTTGACTCTTGGTCTCCGTCCTCCAGGCACAGGGACAAGGATGCGGAGTTCGTGACGCTGTGTAAGAGCCTCCATGTGACGGACCTGGTGTGCGAGCGTTCCTGGGAGCTATGTAAAAGCGTCCAGGTGTCCATGGATGAAATCGCCGTACGTATTTTAAAACGTTGTGTGTCAATATCTTCGTAGTCTCCTGTGGGCCTGTTTGGTGTCCTGTTGAAACAAAGACAATGGCTCGGAGTTGGAATTGAGTGCTGAGGTTGAAAACCACCGAACAAGAGGACCAAAAAAAGTGTCCCTTTTGAAGCCAGCTCACTTTTCTTACTTCACACCGTTTACACTTCAGATAAGAATAAAATAAAATGCCCACTTTGGCATCCTGTCCACAATCATTCAAATGAACATCGTCCCCACAACCAAACCTCATTATGTATGGTGATTCTCTTCTCAAGAAAAGAAAGCTTTGTTCAATAAAGAAGTGCATTATACACACT